AGGATATAATTACATTCACAACACCCCGAGGACCCGTCTCATTCAGTCATCTCAGACTCACTGCTCCAAACTATAATTAGAGAATGTAATCACACAGGTATGGACCTCCAGGATTTATTTTTCAGCCCGACTGAAACGACATCTGTGGTCGGGCACCAGGCGGGGAGTGTTTACAACTTGGCGAGCGTTCAACAGCCACATGCAGTGGCACCAGGCCGCGCAGCCGTCCAGCAGAGTTCACAGTTTACATACACAAACATTCAGACACGGACGGGCAGCCTGGATGATTTGTTTGACATGTGCATGTTCTTGTTAGCTTAGTGATTCCTTGAATAGTGCGCTTTACATACAGGACTAGGCATAACGGCGGGTCGCCCGGGGCAGTGGGCAGTTTTTAACACGGTCTGGTGGTGACCCAGTTTTGTAAGGATTCAGATTTACATTAAAAATATACTTGAATAATAAACAATGCCAGTGCTGAGCCATGTGACCCAGATTTTTAAAAACCATCTCTACATCTCAAGGCCAACTGTCCGACCAGTGGAGGTCAGTAAAAGAGTTTGTTCACGACCCCTAACTTACAGAGTAAACACATTAGGAAGCAGGAAGTGTCTTGCAGGGGACAAACCAATCCTGACATCACCTACATTTAACCCTTGACCCACTTCTAGATCATGAACCATGATTTGAGAACCAATTTTCAAGAGCAGAGGTGCCCTACGCAATGGAATATTAAAATAAATGATAAAATAAAAATATTTTCCACGGATAATCAACATTGCTGGCCAACCAAATATTATGTGTGTTTTTTGTTTTTTTTTTGTTTGAGGCCTGATTTTACACCACAAATGACACAGTACCAGCTGCAAGTTGAACCATTCACCTACAGCATTACATGCACCGAGAACCAAAACCCCACAAACAAATAGATAAATAAAAGGTCATGGTATAGTTCTGCACTTATAAATCAATTTTCTACTATTTACACACTTCTCAGTGTTGATGAAGCAGCTCGAGCCAATCCCAGCTCATATAAGGCAAACGCTCTGAGTGCCCTTGGTGGTCTCATGGTCACAGCTGTTATGTATAATCACATTCACATCAATGATAACTTGGAAAGTTTCCAGGAAAAACCTCATCCAGTGGTATTCAATAAAGGGTGACATGTTTAACTTGGTTTTAATATCAAAGTTTTCTATAGTTTCTCAATAATAAAGTATTGTGAATTCAAATGTTTCCGTATGACACAATCCTCTTGTCCCCATTACTGCGAAGTTGTCGACGGTGCGTCGACTCATGGACTCCATCGGTGTTATTGCTACTGCAGTATTCCACAGAGTGGGCACCAGAAGTGCTGGAGCCAGCACAGCTTGCTTGTATATTTCACCATGAGTGGCTTTGCCCGGCTTATGCCACCCTTGATTTTGCCAGTGTTAACACATGACCTCATCCTATTTGGTCTTTCTGACCCGAAATGCCATCCAGTAAACTAGTCATTCCTCACCTCTCCGTGCACTCCCGCTCCCTTGCCTGTAAACAATTAACACCTCTCACTTCTCTGGGGACAAACTGGGAGCAGCGTGGAGTTCGAGCACGCTGCTGAGCGACTGTGAGTGATTTCCTCCGGGTAATGAACCTCTGGAGGAAAGACTTTTTATGGGATTTAAAAACTCCAGTAACCGTAGAAACAGGTACTACACAGGTCCAACTGCAACTCTTTAATATGTGCTTCACTAGAGTCTGAGTCAAAAAGTTCTAAGACAAACGGTACATTTTCAAATAACATATCCAGACACAACTGTCGTTCTTTGGTTTCTCCAACTGTTTGATCATTATCTCGTCAAGTGTATCTGGATGGTTAACCCTTAAAAAAAAGTTTTTTCATATTAAAATACTTGTTACTGTATGCCTCTAGTTGTTGATATCGCTGTCCAATATTGAATTTCTAACAGATGTAAATACGCAGCTCAGTGGCCCACCAACAGACCAGATCTTATCTGGTGGATGATGGTATGAAACATCCATCAGATGGGCCAGTGGAGGAGTGCTCAAAAATCTGACCTTATTCAAGTTCAGATCATAAAAACAAGGCAGAAAAAAAAGAAAAAAAGAAGAGCAGCACATTTATTGCATCACTGGGAGGATGTAGCGAGGAGATGACAGAGGTTAACAAACATCCCTTTTGCTCATCTTTCACAATTTCTCCCTCTCTTCTATCATCCTGGACCAGCCCTGCTCCATCTCTGATCTTCTTTAAATGAAACTTACAGTGATTAACCAAAAAAATGTTAATTATCTTTCCCTTCACCTCCAGTGAAATAATCACAGGTAACGGGAGTGTGGAAAACACTGGTCCGGTGCACGGTGGAGTCACAGAGTAAAAAGTGGGTGAGCTGTGTTTTCTCCTGGGGTTTGAATCATGCATGTGCAGCAGAAACACAGCTCCAGTGAGCAGAGAGCAGAAGATGGGGCCAGGGGAACAATGACACATGGTGTATCATCTTACACGTCCCAGCGCTGCTCTGACTAAAGCTCTCGACAGCAGAATGATTGAGTAACAACTTACCATAAAACCACTCCCAACCATTTTCAGATCTAAATGCGTGTGTCTCTGTGTGTGTGTGTGTGTGTTTAGCCTTCACATTTGCCCCCTCTGTGCACAGCGACTCCACATTAGCAAACACCCTCTGGATTTGGGGTAAATAAGACAGATACAGTGCGGTGCTCAGAGCATCATGTTCAGTGAATTTATCATTGTTATAGTCAGAATAAATCACCCTGTCGTTTCTCCCAAAAGCATGAGGAGAGCAGTGGAGCATTTCACACAGCCACTGCGTTTTCCATTACCCTCTACATGAAGTCACATCTCACTCACTGTGCTACGTACACACCAGGGCAGTAATTTTGTGCAATATGTGGCATGGGAATTTTGGAACAGCTCCAAGATAAATAAAGCTGCTGTTGCTAGCTTTTAGATGTTACAGCGCTAATATTTACAGTAGATGTCTTTAAGATGAAGGCTGTAAATGCTAACTTTTTAGCTTATTATTGGCTAACATACTGTCTTGTGAATTTGACCTTCTAACCATTGTTCTGTTTCAGCGTTATGTTGTCTTTTTGTTTATGTTAACATGAAGGGCTAACTGTTACACGGGCTATTGGTGACGTCAAATTTGTCACCAAGCTAAGTTTTAGTTTCTTTGCTTTGAAAATGTAAAACCATTGTTCTGTTTCAGCGTTATGTTATCTTCCTGTGTTTCCTCATGGCTAACTATGGCTACCCTTTTTGGAATTTTGTTTATTGTTTTGAATTGTATTTACATGTGTGGTATTTTTGTGCTGGGAAACAAATGTTTTAAAACTAATTTTAACCTTTTCTTCTAGGCCAACCTTAAATAATTTCTTTGCATAATTTCATGTTTGGCTACCATTTAGTTACCTTCATCAGATGCCACTAGAACATTTTCCAACTCAAGTCTCAACAAGTCTTTGCCTCGTTGCAAGACTAAAGGTAAAACAGTTGAATTACAAAATTAATTCTCTTTAACTTTTATAATCTGAAACACTCAGTTTAGGATTACATTCATCACCAGTAAAATAGATGCACAGTTTAAAAAAAAACCAGGACAAAACAGGTTGTTAAATTTTTATTCAACAATATATATTCTGCTCTTTTGACTAAAATCATTATAAGATACATTTGAAAAAATATATTTTAAATAGAAGAGTAAAACATGATAGAGTTTCAATGATTACAGTCTTGACAGCATGACTTAGTGTGTTATTATATTTTTGATCACACCACTATGGCATGACTCACTAAGCTACCAGAACCTCATGAAAGAAGTCCGGGGCAAAGACGGATGACTTTCCACACTTACGGAGTGGTGACAACATGTCGGTTTGAAATGTGGTTTTCAGCGCAGCGAGTGTAAAGTGCTTTAGCAATAAGCCAGAGCAGACATGCAGAGTCACGGAAGGCAAAGTAGGTAAGTAGCGAAACCTTAAAACTTCTTCCAAATAAGTATATTCATATTTTAATACTTCTCTGTTTCACACATGAACCAGATACAAAGCGGCAAAGCGCTGTAATTATCTTTGTCACGCAAGCCTGCCCGCTGCTGCCAGTGTGACTCCTGACTGGAACCGAGAGTCAAATCCAGCTGGATCACTGTGGCACCAAGCAGGAGTCGTTCGGCCAAGGTGTCTTATGAAAGCCATAATTTTTTGTGCATGTTCTATGCTAAAAAAAAAGAAAAAAAAAAGCCTCTAAACTGCTAAACTGACAAAGACATCAGAGAACCGTGGAGCAGAGAACAGCCTTGGTTTTCTATAGCTGTAGGTTTCACTGCCACACAAACGACTCAGGAACACAGACCCGTAACACAGGTGTGATCTTGTTGTTTCAAACCTTTTCATCTGTTCTGTGAACGTCTCTGGAAATTTCTACTCAAACACAAAAAGCCTGGTGCCGCCACCCCTATATTTTTTAAAAAGCCTGGTGCCGCCATCCCTATATTTTTTAAATTTTTTTTACAATATTTGAGCAAAAACAAGCTGTGATTTCAAAATAACCTTTGCGTCAAGATATGCTCGATATCTGTTATATACATAGTAATAATGAGACCGAGTTCCAGTCTTTCTTTTTCGTACATCAGATTACGACCAAGTGTTGTTTGCAGGCAACTTTCAACAGAAAGGTTTTGTTTAATATTCAAGTGAAAATAACGGATCATGGTATCTGTTTTTCCTATGTTCTATTCTTTAATATTCAAGTGAAAATAACGGATCGTGGTATGTGTTTTTCCTATGTTCTATTCACAGAGGAGTGTAGTACGGTTGGACTTGAAGAAGCTTGTAGCGATGCTGCACGACCGTGGTAAAGCCTGTGTTATATGTATTCAAAGCAGATGTACAGTATTGTAAGGCGGGTTTTGCTGCGCTACACTGCTAGGTTAGCTGAAACCGCACGCACCTTGACTGTTTTTTTTTTAATTCGGTTTGGATCCGCTCAGAAAGCGTAAGGTCCGACTATGACGGTGAGCCGCAGCACTGAGCTGGAGCGGTAGTTCATGGTGAGATGGTGAGTGACCATCTCCAGGTCGACGATGTACTCTCTGGGACCAGAGAGAGGCTTGGTGAGCACTAGCATGGCACTCACGTTACTGGAACGCTACAAGAAAAAAAAAAATATCAAGGTTAAAACCAAATGGGAACAGATTCAAAACAAAAACAGTAAATTTGAAATATAACATTTATCTGGATTAAGATAAAGTTGACACTAGTATGTTATTAATTATATTATTATATGTTTTTTAAAAATATATTTCTACTAAAATCAATTTGTCATAAATGTAAAACTATTTGACACCAATAAGATAATAATGTTGTAACACACCAGCATATCATAAAGAAAACATTTCATGTGTCCAGATGTGTGGGGGCCAAACATAGTGTGTGTGTGTGTGTGTGTGTGTGTGTGTCACTACCAACCTACAGGCGATTTTGCTAGTTATTTATCACCTGCCAGTGAATAAATGTCTCACCCGCAGGAAGAACTCTCCTCCCTCATTCCCAGATTTGATCCTGAAGGTGTTGTGTGTGTTGGTGTAGATGTTGGTGGCCTGGATCTGGAAGATGTCCGCCGGCACGGTGCGATCCGCCTGTATGCTCATGTACTTGTAGACGACCGACGGCGGGAGTCCCTGGCAGTCGGTGTGAGATCGGCAGATGCAGCGACTGCTGACAAACGACAGTTACGGGAATCTCAGCGTTTGAAAATGACCACACAGCGACAGCGATTCAAAAACACAAGAGCTGGGTGATGTTTACTGACTTTTCAGAGGTCTTGACATACGGCGCCTCACAGGGGTTTCTGGGATAGCAGCGGAAGCCCCCATAATAGTTCCAGCACATTTCTTCATCTTGGCAGTTATGGGTCCCTGTCTCACACTCGTTTACGTCTGGTGATTGGCAGAGTGACAGAGAGGAGGAGAGTGAACGCACTCAACAACAGCTGAAGGACTTCCTGTATTTCTCACCTCCAGATTACACACAGATTCTGCACACTTAAAACAGGGCCGTGTCAGAGGACAGCACAGCGCGGGGATCGTGCTGGAGTCTGAGGCAGCAGAAGAGGAAGCGTGTGAGGGAAGACCCTGTGTAGAAGCAACCCTACACATGTAACGGGAGCTTTTTTTTTCCCTGAAAATAGCACGATCAAACGTTTTCCCACCAAACCACAGGGCTATTTCTGGCACAGCAGAGGGGATTTATCACTCACAGGTCCCCCTGACACAACAGCCCAGATTCAAGGCTCGCTCTATAAAGCCTGCAACTGACCGAGGGGGAGAGGGAAAACATAACAACTCAGCCTTTGAGAGAACGCCGGCCTTCAAATAAATCCAAGAAACCGGCATCATGCATATAAATTCACAGAGGTGGCTTACATATAGGAGGGCAACACACACAGTTGCTGTGTTGGGATTGCCTAACCTCTGCATTCTTTCCATGACAGTATCACTAGAACCCCCAGGACGGTAAAGAGGATTAATCAAACTTTCTTTAAACGGCTGTGAAACAATTTGTTGTGTGTGAAAACAGAAAGGAGGGCGAGACAGATAAAGAACAACCTGAGAGGAGATTTAGAGCAACAGAGATTGAAGGCAGGAAAAGGGGGAGGAAAAAAGGAGGACAGCAGTACCTTGACACAACCTGTTTCCTTGGAGCTGATATCCCTCCGGACACTCGCAGGAGTAACTTCCTGGGCTGTTAACACACTTGTACTGACACATGTAGCTGGAGAAGCTGCATTCATCAATATCTGGAGGAGGAATGTGAAACAGTGAAAGGCAGAGCATGTTACACATCAGTGTTGTTCCACAGCTCCCAGGTACGAACGCGTGTTTTAAAAATTGTGTCGTTACCTTTACAGGAAACCATGTCTTGTGCCAGTTCGTAGCCCCGGTCACACTGGCACAGGAAGGAACCAATCAGGTTATAGCAGTGGTGCTGACAGGGGCTTTGAACATCGCACTCGTTCACATCTGGAACAAAGGACGCATTATCGTAAATTCGTAAAATAAAAATAATCTTTGGTGAAACTGTGCTTCTGTGGCACACATGGTTGCTAAATGTTGTCGATACCAAATGGAAAATTTGGGAGATAAGAAGAAGCCAAATATCCATTATTTAAAGTTGGTTAGAAAATAAATTTTTGGTTATGAAAGCAAGTCAAAACTGCAAAAATTACTGAGAAATATAGTTAACGGTTGGCCAAAACACAGCAGATCTTAAGCCAAAAAGATAAGATAAAGTATGTTGACATAGTAGGAAATACAGGTAAAAGTTAGTCAAAAATTAAAAACATAAAAAAATGAACTTGATACAGTGAGATGAAAATGATCCATTATGGATCCAGCAAATATAAACAAAAACCAAATTTCTCTAAGTTATTTAAGCTAGTCCACTATTTTCACTCTTTTTTTTTTAAATCATTACAATGGAACTGTTAAACAAGCGCCCACGGCTCCGCGGAGACTTACCCACGCAGCTGTGGTTGTTGCTGGCCAACTTGTGACCCGTGTTGCACTCACAGTAGTACGAGCCCTGGGTGTTGACACATCTGTGCATGCAGTAGTGGGTGAGGGAGCACTCGTCTCTGTCTGTGGAGACACACACAGGTATGTTAATAATGTCATGAATACACAGTGTGTTCTGCAAAGTGTTCTGGGAAAAGTGTGTAGTGAGAACGATGGACACTCACCCACGCAGTGGTCCCCGTTCTTCTGGAAGCCTGGGGGACACTGACAGGTGTAGGAGCCTCTGGTGTTGTAGCATGTCTGCTCTGGACCACAGGTGTGTCTCCCTGTGGTGCATTCATCTATGTCTGCAATTAGAAAAGACAAAATGTCAATGCAATAGTTGACAAAGAAAAAAGTGGCCCTGCGATGGACTGGCAAACAGTCCAGGTTAAACCCCGCCCTCGCCCGTAGATGACTGCGATTGGCCCAAAAATGAAATCTTATTAAGGCAACAATCGTCTTGACTCTGCAATCACGAGCATTACGTTTGATCTGTCACAGCTGAGTCATGGAAGTTCATTCTTGAGAAAGAGAAAATGCACACAGAGGGCAGTGTTGCCCAACATGGCCGTCCTTCGGCCCATCACACATGGCACATCTTTGTTTGTTTTTTTGTTTTATTTGGTTCATTTTCAAGGATATTCCTGCAAACTCTAACTTTCATGATTATTCTAAAGCAGAGACGAGGCTCGTTGTGATGATCACAGCTGGTTGGACCACCAGAAGACACTTTCCATCAAGCTCCGAGTTTAAGCTTGAATTTTCCAGCTCGGACTTAAACACATATCAAGTTGATCCTCCAAAATTTTGGTTTGTTTGAAAACCGCAGCTTCTTACAAAGGCGTCTCTCACTGCACCCCCCCCACCCCCACCCCGGCCCCCAACCACTTTCTTTTTTCTTAACTTTTAATCTCTTTCTCTCTCTCACACACACACACACATACACACACATACTGGAAATACACTCATACTGTATACTCTCATCCCTGTGGGCCCATCAACACCACACTTGGGTGGTCCCACACAGCCCCTCATACAGACAGCCAGTGGGCATCAGTTGAAGAGCATGACAGACAGTTATCCTCCGTACCACACACAAAGAAAAGGAGGAGGAGCCTCTTTTTTTTTTCATTAACTGTATTGTGACTTGACAATAATAGGAGGAACCTAACGAGAAGAAGACGAAGCCCCCGGTGCCCCCCCCCCCCCCCATCTTCCACTGTCTAATTCTACATGTGGCGTCCAGGAATGGGCAGCTTCACTGTGAACAGAAGCTCAGCTGTTCTTCAAAACGTAAGAGAAAAGGGAACCGTAGAGGGGCTGAGGGGTGAGGTCAGCTCTACGGGGACACTGTGATAATATGGGCTGTTGTCTGAGGGACACCTGAGAGACAACAGGTGGGAACACACAGAGGGAGGAATGCCCGGAGCAGATAAAAGCAGACTTGTTCTCCGAGGATCTGCGCTCTCATGTGGCCTAAAAGTCATGTGGGAAAGTGCATCCGTGTCCAGCACCGAGCTTAGAAACGTAGAAACCCAGAGCATGGACTGCATGGACTGAGCCACCTGCTTCAGCTCCCCCGCATCACGACATGACGGGACAACAGAACACGAGCGAATGCAGCAGTGTTGGAGCTGAAGAGAGGTGTTTGGCCTGAGTGTAGAGATAATTCATGATGGTATAAGAAGACGTGTCAGCCATCTTTGTCCACTGATCCTTTTATTTTATTAGGGTTTTCAACTGTCAGAAATGAAGAATTTCAAAATCAAAGCAAACATTCTTACTGTAAATGGAAAACTGTGGAAGTTATGGAACAATTGTTGATGTCACTTAATCTAATTTTTTTCTTTCTTGGTTCATAGGGAAAGCAAAGAACCAGGATGTGAGTTTTTCATAAGAAGACGTGTCAGCCATCTTTGTCCACTGATCCTTTTATTTTATCAGGGTTTTCAACTGTCAGAAATGAAGAATTCCAAAATCAATTCTTACTGTAAATGGAAAACTGAAAGATTTTTTTCTTCTTGGTTCTTAGGCAAAACAAAGAACCAGGATGTGACCTAACACAAAAAACACACACCAGAGTTTTTTGCAAAAGGAATTCTCAGAAAAATAATGAATAAATTATAATAATATTTTATTGCACTTTATATTTGGGGACAAAGAGATGAGAAACAGTGAGGTTGTGAGACATAAGAGAAGCATTAACTACTGAAAAAAATTGAAATAAAAATATTTTAGCATGGATATGTCAAGAAAATAGCACAAATTATTATTATTCTCCCTTCTGTAGTTTACAGTGTAGCTGCAGATCCCTCTGGGTTTGATGTTTGCTCAGTGACACATCAGCAGCAGAATTCCATCAAAGATCACTTTAGTAAGTGATAAAGTCTCCATCAGTTAGCCTATGACATTAAACCAAAACAAAGAAAATGGCAGCATGTTTCTGGACCCTGGGCAGAGAGAGCAGAGATCTCAGGAGAAAACCATGGTCCAACAAGCGAAGTCCTCACAGAAGGATCCTCATTCAGACTTGGATTTCACTACTGACCTTCTCGCTGAGCCCTTTCCAGTTCCATTGGCACTACATGGAGATACTTTTACAGCAATTACATTTCCACTCTTTTGGTGAGTCATGCTACAAGATGTCCTGCCGGGGTTTGCAGGATCATTCATAGAAAAAGTAAGAAAAAGGACACGGACAAAAAAAAAAACTGGCTTGAAATCTTTCGTCTTTTGAAAACATCCCAGAGATGTTGAATGGGGTTTCATTGCGGTCAGGTCTTCTTGTTAGCTACTCAACATTCCGAAAACCAAACTTACCATACTGTTACAGATCTGCAGTGCTGTCATGCGGTTTTAGAAAAAAATAAAAACACTTCTCTCCCACAAAGTTGGAAGCAGAAAATCTCAGGATTTGTCTTTTTAAAATGAAGCATAAAGAGTTCCCCTTCCCCTGTGACTAAGAACCCTATAGGTCAACCGCAGGAAAAACAAGTCCTTCCTCCACCAAACTTTACAGTTAGCTCAATGCAGTGAAGCGTTGACCAGAGTTCATCTGACGTGGGCCAAACCCTGGTTCATCCATCAGACTGCCAGAGAGGAAAGCCTGATCCATCAGCCTGTGAAGCCCTTCTCCTCAGCTCCAGGGCCAGGGGCTTTGGACTGGGCCATACCATACTGAACCGCAGTTAAATCCAATAAGTTATGAAGAATAAAATCAGTACGACTTGATGCCTTTTCAAAGTAAACTATGTTTTAAAGTGTAGTGGTGATTACGACAGTGTGAAGCTCTCACTCTGACCTTTGTGAGTGGTTTTATTGTTGGTTGAAGCCGTGGTCCCCAAACCACCATTTACAGATTCACAGAGAGGTTCTCAAGTTCCCCCACTTTGAGCCACGGTCATTCACACAAACCAGAGGAGAAACGAAATTGAACTCCAGCTAAAATATTGACAAAAAACTCAAACTCAAACTCTCTCCACACAAATGGCTGCAAAACTTCGTCAGCTCCCTTACAAGACCTGCAGACGGAGACAGAGACTCTGGCGCCCCCTGGAATGGCCCCCCCACACCTCCAACTTTGAAAACCAGTGGTTTAAGAAAACATCAAACTGTAATCTCTATGGGTGTCATTGACAAGTTCAGCTACTGAATACCAGCCACGTGATAAGCCTCTCCATGCTGGTACAGGAAAGCAGATTAGCGCACACACTTTCACCACGAGCTTATCAGTTTTAGTGTAGACACCATGTTTATAACAGGATTTGCATCGGGGCGGACTTTGACGGGAAAACCCCGACTGATTTTAACCTAACCTTGACTCCAGCGTACTACCATTGGGACGCATTAAATAAGCCATAAACCCTGTTGTATTTGTTAGTGTCTGTGATATTTGCTCTTGTTTTGTCTGATGTCTATTTGTCCGTGCTTCATATTGCCTCTTTAGCGATAACACAGACATCTTCAATCTCAAATCTATGATGCGTGTCCTGATTCTTTTGTCCTTGTAAAAGACTTAGGAAACAGCAGCAGCCAGAGACTGGGCTCAAGAATGAGAACTGCAACCACACCTACTTTCTGGAGGTATTTGGTGAATCACTGAGACTGGAAATGCCTTGCCTTCTGGCAGTAGATTCTGAGAACACAAGCCCGAGGCTCCTGATAGAACCCTGTCTGTTGCTGCTGTCCCAGTGCCAACGCAGGGAAAACTGTGAAACTGTAACTGTGATGCTACAGTAGCTAGCCGCTATCAGGGTTAGAGGGTCAGAGACCCAACATGAAACGCTTTGTTCAGGTTTATGGTCTTTATTCCTTGAATTTAGCATGGCTGCCAACTAGCTAATATTTTAGCTAAATGCTAAGTTTTATTGTAGTTAGCTAAGCTTAGCAACAGGTTGTGTATGTATAATAATAAGATATAATATTGGCTGACCAATATTATCAACTCAATATTGGCGTAATAAAGTTTATTTTCACTAATACACAGCAATTACTGCACACAATATCAACTCAATATTGGCGTAATAAAGTGAAAGTACATTATTGTCACTAATACACAGCAACTACTGCACACAACGAATTGAACAGTGGTTTGTACAGATACAAATATACATATATATGTTATCAGGTTGTCAATAGTATTTTACTACCACTGCTTTAACCCATCACCTTAGTGAGCAGGCGGCAGTTAACTACCTTAACCACCAGGGCACCGCTGCCCTGCTTTATCGGTATTGGTTGACATCGGAATCGGAAATCAGCAGTGTTTGGACAAGCTGTGTATGAAACACAGCACTTAATTGAATTTCGTGCAGTAGGTATTGGTTCTGCTGTGTCAGAGCTCTGCACCTCTGCCAAACAGCCTTCGTGTGTTTTTTGTAAAATTGTAACCGTTTGCGCTTCATCACATGTTGTAAACACTCTGGGAGCACGAGTGTGATGTCATCTTGACAATGTATCACCGAGCACACGCGTCTGTTCAATAGGTACGCTGAATCATTAAGCAGTTGGACCCTTGGAGTCCTCGATTCCCGCCCTTAGCGTGCGTGGTCACGGTTTCCCGGGAGTGCGACCGTTCATGTATCAATCAAAGTTTCGCAAAAGCAAGGCAAAAGTCTGCCTCTGGGTAATGTTCCAGCTCTCAACTACATAAGGTGTAGAAAGCATGAAGGCTTGGAGGAAGAACTAAGCACACATGACTGTAAACTGCTCGGGATCCAAAGAAGTTCTGTCCTCACTCGCTGGATGAGCTCTAACCAAAAGCATATGTGCTGAAGGGGAATCCAGAGGTTCATTCACAGGAACA